TTCTAGGACCACATGAATTTGCAATGCTGACTTCAACCTGCTGTCCATCTCTGAACAAATTCACCTTTGTTTTGGACTAGCAGGTCTGATCTAGGCCTCTCTAGGCCTGGCTAGAAAGAAGGGGGACACTGAAGTGGTCTCATGGGGTGCCTTCAATCTGAAGAACAGATTATTCTGGCAGCAGTAGGAGGGCTCCGAGAGCCACCTGTTTCCCATAGAGACATGTGCTCTCTTAGGAAAAGAAAGGGAGCAAATAAAGAGGTGGTGTTTTCCAGCCGTGCAACCTGCTCCTGGGATTTGTGCGCTGCTCCCTTGCCCGACAACATGAGAATCCCACACACTGGATGATTTGAAAACCATCCCCCTCTCAGACGCCATTTCTTATCGTGGTGGCTCCACTTTCAATCCTTATAAATAGCTCCACTTCACTGCAGCACCTTCTTGTCACTCACAGCCCAAGAGGGGCCCCAAAAAAGGGGTGGGCAAGCGTGTTCCTAAATAGAATGTGTATCAACAGATTCTTCTGAGGCAGACCTAGGGCCTGGTGAGGTGCCTTTGGCAGGAAGCCAGATTAGCCTTGTTTTTCCGGGCTTTTGTTTGTTTGCTTTAAACAAAAAAGAAAAAAACCTTTCGGCAGTTCATGGAGGCCATGGCCCCCATCCCAATGCAATGAGCCAAACTTACTGCAAACCACGTCTGAGTTTCTCGAAAGCTTCAGAATACCTCAAACCATATTCCATATTTTGCAGTATGTTTATGAGGCCAGCTCCAAGATCGGACAAAACATGTGCAAGCTTAGTCAGGCAAGAGGTTTCAAGAAGCGAGCCAGCAGGGTGAATAGCAGGAAACAAAGGGCTGAATGGATTCGGTAGTAAGAATGCCTGCACAGGGTCTTACAATAACCAGGAAAGGAAGAAATTTTATGATTTATGTTGTTAATCATAAGATTTTCTTGCACTTCTGTAAGCCAGAACAATGATGTGCTGCCTTTCCTCTCCTCCAGTACAGCAGAAGATTTATCAGCTTTTTAGATGGTGAAAAAGGGCCATTGCTCACAGGTAAGGTGCCCGCATTCACACAGATACTAGATTCAACCCCTGCTTTCTGTAGTTTAAAAGGATCAGGTAGCTGGTGATGAGAAAAACATCCCGTGTCTCTAGAGATCTGATACCAGTAAATATAGTCAGTATGAGAGTCAGTGAACTGATGGGTTGACTTTATGAGACAGCTTCTTCAGAACCAGGACATCAAAGTTTGGCTGGAAGGTGAGAGAGGACCTCTCCCATTGCAGAACTGCCAAAAACATTTTTCAAAACCAATAGTTTAAAATATGTTTTTTGTAATGCATGAATAGTCACAGCTGACTTCGACAGCGGACCTGCGGACATGGGATCAGCCTTGTGAACGGGTCGCCTGCATGGTCATCTTGTAATGCTTACTATTGTGGTGTGTTTGCTTCTGATCTTGGGCACATGCGTGCACTTCTACAACTCTAAAGTGGATGAATGCCAAATTGCCAGCAAGATCCGTGCAGTGTGCAAGTTGACTGAGGGAGCCCTCAGCTAGACTTCTGCCTGAAGGGCATTCCCGGCTTGAGCATTTCAAGGCCCCCAGCAGCTGTACATAGTGCTTCAGCCAGGGCTGAACCTCAGGGCCCTGCAGCCCAGAGGTGGGGAGTGTCCCAAGCGACTACACAGGAAGCAGTCGGTAACAGACTCTGCCACAGCACCTGGGCTGGCAAGGCGAGCCAAGGCCCCAGGGGAATGATGCCAGGTGGCCCAACATCCTTACTTCTTCTTGCTATTTAAAAAGCGTCATCCAGTCTAGTGATGCCCAGGGGCCACATACATGGTTACTGATCCTCCTTTTATTAGTTCAATTTTTTAAAACACATTATCCTTTTCTATAAGCAAATGGTGCTCATTCTTAAGGTACTGTGTTTAACAGCGAAGTCCATTTTATTCTGTAAGTTATGATGATGCTATGATTTAAGTGAAACACCACATACTTAGAGTATTTCCTTCTTAAATAATCTGGGCTGACCAATAGATTGTTTGGTATGTGCATCTGTGTGTGCCTGCACATGTGCTCTAACTGCAGGAATGTAGCAACAGTTGTGAAGTATGGAATAGAACAGAGGTGGGAAAAGTGGAAAGATAGCGGAGTGCTTCCCAGTAAACACAGCCATCATTTCCCTAGTGCCTGTGCAAACTCGCCCAATGTGGTGTAGAAGTTAGAGACTGGGATAGCATATTCACTGGGAGGTTAATAGGCCGCAGTTGCTGTTATCTCCCCTGCATGTGCTAGTCATGGGCTGGGGGTATCAGCATAATTACCCTTGGCAGCCTGTGATGTCCTGTGCACCCTTCTAGGGTGGCTTGTTGCCATAGGTAAAACCATGAGCTATTACCCACAACAAGCTACCCAGGCCAGGTTTGCATGACACAACAAGCCATGCTACTGAAAGTGATCCCCCAGCATGTGATTAGCATGTGCCATGGGGAAAATAAGACATGGGTTTATTTTCCAAGCCACAATCACGTGCACTGGCCCAAAGTGTTGCCTGTACGAGGAAGAAGTGCGTTGAAATCCCTGCTTTGCCATGAAGCTCCCCACATCACCTGGGGCTAGTCTTGGCACCTCTTATCTTAACCCACCTAATGGAAATATAAATCCGTATCAGCCATCATGCTGTCAGCAGAGAGAGGGTAGGATATCTAAGTAATCCTAAATGATTAGATACGGTGGCTTTTAAAAAAGCAAAAACAATTTTGTATGGCGTGGGCACTGCTCTGAGCCTGCCCTTTTCAAGTGTCTTCATGATCAGTACAACCTCTGGCCATACTCACTATACGCAAAGCCCAAATGGTAAGTGAGTGCATGTGTCTATGTATGGGGTGGGGGAGACAGGGGGTAAGAATGCAGGGGTAGGTATCCTGGAGCTCCTCAAATGTTTGGACCACAGCTCCCATCAGCCCCAGTCAGGATGCACAGTGGCCAAGGATCATGGGACTTCAGGTACAAGCCTTCTGGGGGGCACTGGGTTGCCAAAGCATAGTTCATAGTCAAATCTTAGCTGTTCAATATCCTTCCTGCTCGGGCTTCATAAATCCAGTCTCTGGAAATGAGAGGCCCTTTTTGAAAACCCAACAGAGGGGGAGATGAGCAGGGGTGTTTGCACTGGCTCATTTCATTTCCTACAAGATACTTTATGTTTATACAGAATGCCCTTCCTTCCCCCCACCATGACCATTTCTCATAATTTTCCCCTATCACAATACACGTGAAGGAAGAGGATAAACATTTTGAAAGCTTATCATGACTTATCTGTTCCACCAGGTTTTCAATTGGCATTGCTGGTATTATGATTCATGAAGCAGACAACCACATCCTTAATAAAATACAGAACTACCTGCAATGTGCAACCCCTTAATGGCACACAAAAAGGAAAGTTGTTCCCCTTCGGGCAGTAAGTTTTGAGGTAAACCATGAAATGGCAAAAGATGGTCAATTTATTATTTATAGTTTTTTTCCCCTTTATATATTTTACCACCATCGTTTAGGTTTTTTTACACCAGGCACCAACATGTCTGGGGCCTACCTTGGTTTGTCATCAGTACAGTATTTCTGTTTTGTTGTTGTCACATTGCTGATTATTGCCTCATTTTATATGGTGACTTTGCACATTTTGAATCACTTTAACTATTTTGTGAATAACCTTGAGTGCTTAACTGCAGTGGAAAAGGTGAGAGATATTTTTCCCCTCACAACACACTAACATTAAATTAAAATAAGACTTGGAAGTTCAACTAGGTTTTTTGGCAGATGACAGAGAAGAGAAAAACGACTACACCTGGCCATAATAAATCATTCCATAAGTGCATCAACCAATATGCTTTGGCCTCAGACCTTTAAATTATTTGCCTAACATGCACTGATATTCACATGATTACATGAAAGGGACCCTCACCCCCACAAAAGGGAAGGCAGTTTGGAAGGTAGCTCCGTCATTCCTTTTATGAAATTATCCAAACGCTGGCCAAAGGCACATGCAACCCAAGCAGCTGCTTGCAATAGCCGTGTTCTTTGGGGCATCGGTTCATGATTTGTGTCTCAGCAGAACTTCTGGCATAACCGCAAGGGATCTCAGGGCACTCAGCCCATGAGGTGAAACCATTTGGGTATCAAATAGTCTTTCACTAATCCTGCAAAGGTCAGTTACCTTGCCAGTTAAGATTCATTTATTTACATGTTTAGAAAATAAATAGATAAAATGTGCCCCACCCTCCCTACTAAATAGTTCACAAGCATTTGAATCTGTCAGGTAAATGAGAGCACACCTGTACATTGTTCTCTACAAGCTGCTTAAAATATCAGAAGCAGCTGTTGATTCATAAGAGGTCAGACATGTCATCCCTTCCTCAAGCGGTTGGAACAGCTACTGGGTTAGGGAGCTTAAAGGATTGGAGATGGCATTGTGTTACTGAAAAAGCAGTCCTGGGGATGATGGTCCCTGAAACATAGTGATTTCACTGATCCTGGGGCTTTGAGTGCCCTTTCTTTAGCTGCACGCAAGGTCTTTCCCTTCTGTCAAAATATATTCCTCTTCCCGCTAACATTAGGAGCAACCATTTTAACTCTGTAATTAAACCTAATCAATTCATTTGTGATGTGACTTGCTCATGGACAGGAGTTCATCTGGAGTACACACTGACAAAAACTCATAGAATCAGGTACCAAATGGATGGATCTCTCGGTTCCCACAGGAGCCGTAAATATCTCTCCTCCTTACATGGAAAAGACTTTCTCTCTGTCTCTCACTGAGCAATTCTGTAAAAATAACTTAGGAATGGAGGGATTTATCTGTGGGGGAGGCTTTATCAGCTGTCCCCTCAAGACCACCAGCCAGGCACAGCTGGGCCTTGTCAATGACACAGAGATTGCGCACACGCACGCACACACGGACACACATGCACACATATGAATACAAATGGTCATACCTGAACCAGCCCGGAGTAACACTGGGGTGCTGGAGGATACACAGGCAGGCTGTAGGGGTGCAGAACCACCGCCGGAGGGGACAACATGGCACATAATAAAGTCAGGACCCAACCACCGAGTCCCAAAAGGAGTCAAAAGCACCTCTGTCTGAGCAGCTTTGGCACCGGCGGAGGGAGTGCCGAGTGGCAGATGGGACGGTGCCATTGAAAGACGCCAACAGCTGTCGAGAACACAAGCTCCTGTCACAAAACTGCCTGGGCAAAAGCATCTGCACTGGGATAGAGTCTCACCAGGGACTCATAATTTTATGAGGCACAGAGTAAATATGAGGCACTGAGGTAAACATGACTTTGTCACAGGTTTATGACCCTCTTGCCACCATTATACTCATTCAGAGACAATGTAAGTGTCATTCTCTGGTTATTATTCATAATTTTTTAGAATACTATGCACAATTTCTATTTGAACAGTGCATGATTCAGCAAAGTTAAAAGTACTTAGGTTTCACCGATTTCAGTAGGAACATTAGACATGTATTTATATCTCACCCTCTGAAATCAAGGAGGCTTACTACACAATAGGATGCATGTTTACCCAGAAGACAGACCCATTGCATTTTGTGGGCTCACTCACAAGTAAACATGTATAAAATTGCAGCTTAGAACTATTCTTCTTTCATGCCCATAGCATTGTACACTATATGCTGTATAGTGCACAGCCTTAACCATGGATAGTCAGGTGGGATAAAAATATTTTACACTAGAAATGCCACTTATTTATGACATTGTTATACCACCCAATAGCGGAATCTTTCTAGTTCAGTAATAATTCTCAAAAACTTAAAATAGTTTAAAAATTAAATACTGTATAAAAATTAAATAGTTAAAACTACAGTATAAAATAAAAGAGTAAGAGTAAGACCTGGCAGCAATATAAAGGTTTAAAATGCAATCCAGAGTTTAGAACAGAATAAAATTCCTGGGAAAGTAAGATCTTCACCTGACACTGGAAAGATTACAATCCCGTGCCAAGCAAACCTCTCTGGAAAGGTCATTCCATTTACAACAGAAATGTCCCTCTTCTTAATAGCCACTGACCTGACTTCCCTTAGGAGGGCTCCTTCAGAAGGAGTTTACCAGTAATTGCCCATTCAAGACCAACACGCACATACACATACACTCTCTCTCTAAGTTGCATGCAAACAGGAACAATGTATTATAGGTTATAACAATCATTTCGCCAAGTTCCTGTAAAAACTGCAACTAAACTAGAACAAGAAATTGTGGCATGCAAGGTCAGCATCTCTGCTAATAAAAATGTCCCAGTACTTCAACCTTGTGCGCTGTGGTTTCAGTACATCATCAGCACCAACTCACATAGGTACAGCACTGGCAGCACACAGTGTATCAACCTGTGCCACAGATCTGTCATATACCAATAGTGTGCAAGGATGGGCAGTGTGTACACCAAGCATTTTTTAAACATGACCCTGGCCACATGGAATGCCTACACCTGTAAGAGCTGGCCAGACATACCTAAGTTGGGCTGCAGCTACCAGCTTGCATATACAAAAATGTGATTTTTTTGTGACAGTGTGCTGGGCAACCTTCCCATACAATTTCCATGAAAGTGGACAGCAGAAACACTCTAAATCTGCACGCATCCACTTTCTTCTCTACCCTTTTCAATTTAGAGCCCATCCCATCTTCCATTCATTCACACACTTGTACCTGTCTATGCACACACTTTAAGATCCAGGACCTCCATTCCAGCAGGGTGGTGGCTGCCATTTTTCATCATTGGCAGTCACTGAGCATCCAATAGGGGGCAGCAGAACAGACAGCTCACTGCTTATGGCCTCCCTCTTTAGCCAAGCATGTCATGAACGATATTCACTTTAGTACCTGTTTAATGCCACTTTGGGCTTTTATTGTGTTCTTCTGTGGCCTCATTTTGGTTTGGTTTTATCTGTGTTCCTGGATTTTAATCGAACACCATTCTAGGTTTTTATTGATTGAAAAGTGGACTAAACACTGCCTAAGTAAATAAATGATTTACTGTGGCTAACATTATAATGGCTGCACAGACTTTCCACTCTTAATATGGCATTTTAAAAAATCAGGAAAGCTTTGTATAAGCCCTCTCCTATCTTCAGCCTGTGGTTATATATGCAGCGGTGTGTGTGGGGAGGGGGGCAAAATCAATGCATACAACTCCAGGGTGTTCATCAGGCTGGACGTTTAGCAGAGTAAAGGTAGAAGCTGGCTTGATGCTGAAGCCTCGAAGTCTACCAAAAGTCTCCAAAGTCCTTTGTAGTCTTAACTGACAGGCTTTGTGGCCTCAACATCCGGTCAGCTTTGCTTGCCAGAGGAAGGAAGGCGGGATATAAATGAAATAATACAGTGTAATAATTATAAAATGCAGGTAGTTGAAGTCACTGGTTTCTAATTGAAGGCAATTAGCAGCCTGATCCTAGACAATGTGTTAAGTGGGACTGAGTAGGACTGGGATGCAGAATCAAATACACCACAAAAACTTCTTAGTTAGGATAAAACACAGTCCTAAATATTATGATGCACCTCCTCAGGCCAAGGTGCTATTGGGAGGAATACGTCTTCGGACTATGCGAAATGTCAGCTGTTCAGAGAGTTACTTCCAAAGCCAGGAGTGGAGAATCCCTTACCTTCCAGGTTTTGTTCAGCCCCAGTCAGTAGTCAGAGATGATGCGAATTAAGTGTCCAAAACATCTGGAAGACGACAGGTTCTACATCTCCATGTTATTATTACAGGGTTAGAAATGGGTTAGGGGTGTGGAGATGAACAATGTGCGAGGGACCTGTTAAAGCGGCCATCCACAAGAGGTAGGGATAATGGGAATTGTAGTCCAAAAGTGCAATAGTCTGAGGGTAGTGTGCCATACAGAGCCAGTGTGGTGCAGTGGTTAAGAGTGCCAGAGTGGGACTCAGGATATCTGGGTTCTAGTCCGCACTCAGCTATGGAGCCAACTGGGTGACTTTGGGGCAGTCACATATGTACTTCAGTCCAACCTTCCTCACAGGGCTGTTGCTGTAAGGATAAGATTGAGAACAGCAGCAGAATGATGTACCTTTATATTCTTTTTGGCGCCATGTGCAAACCTTTTTATTTACCCACTATTTTAAGGATTAGGAATTTTAATTGGTTTTTAATACAGTTGCATTTTGTTTTTGATTTTGTTTTGTTGGTATTATGTACCAACCAATTGTTGTTATTTGTTGCTTTGTTTATTTGTTACAGTCCTTGTAAGCTGTCCTGGGATGATTTTCGTATAGGATGGGATACAAAAATTTTAAATAAATAAATAAGCTGCTTTGAGTGCTTTGTAAGAAAAAAAAAAGGCAGGATCTAAATCTAATAAATCAATGGTTCAGTGAGACACAATGGAAAAGGGTGGCCAAAATGATGAGAGGAAAACTTTGAGAAGTTTCAAGGAGTATGACACAATGTCCTTGACCTTCTGTGACCAGAAGCTTCAGTCTCCTGCCCTCTCAGCAATAGCACAGTTTAACATTTGAGCACAATTATTTCATTCCTTTCTTCCCCATTCCCTTCTTTTTTCCTCTACCTTCTCATTCCTTTTCCTAAGTCACTGAAAGATGGAGCACAAACAGGTGGCAATATTACAGAAAAAGAGATTGCTTGACAGTCAATGTTTTTTTGAGTAACCCCATGTGTTGCCAATATAGATAAAAACTCAGCTATAAAGATTACTCCACAAAAACAGAGCTTAGGTCGTAAAATCTGACAAGCAGAAATTGCACTGGGGAAAATATATAAAGATTTTAACCAACGCATTTTAGACTGCAGTGAGGAAATCAGATCAGCAGATCTGAAAATCATGGCCTACCTGTTTCTCCTGCCTTGCTGGGGCCACCCTTGTGAGATGAGAACTTTACTTCCCCTTCCACCAAAGCAAAGGGAGATGTTTTTGTTTCGGAAGGACCGGCTGCTGGGTGTTTGATCCTGGTAACCCTCGCTACCTCTGCAGAGCCTCCACGCTTCCCCGCCCCTGGAGTGGGGTGACATGCTTGCCAGTACCTAAGACCCACTTCCCTCATGGCAGAGGGCAGGACAAACTAGCTCCACAGCCCCTGAAGGAGGCCAAAGATCCTTGGGAAAGAGTCCGGTTCTGTTGGTCTTTCTGGCTTTCAGCCTCAGGGTCAGTTCTCTGAAATGAAGCACTTTCTTTGGGCCCAGCTGTAACCACCACAGATGCATGCACCCTCTCTCTCACCCATGCTCCTTAAACCCTCTGCCACCATTCCATGGGCATTAAATGTATTTTTGACTAGGAACAGCCACTATTTTATGATACTTGTGCTTAGAAGGTGGCACTTGCTCTATAGGGAGGTTTTTAAAATTAAAATATGCATTGGTTTAGGTTTCTCACACATCCTTCATGCTGTTATCTAAAAGTTACATCTTTGCAGTGGTGGGGTAACCACATGCTCTACCATACAGCAGACAATCCTGTATGGGAAGGTGTACTTTGTCTATAGGGCTGTTCTGTCCAAGTCCATATTAGAGACAGAGAACCATGAGAGCAGAGAGTACTCAGAGCCCTTGATGCTGCTATTCAAGAGCACTTGACACCAGACTAAGCAAGCACTTGGTCGCTTGGGGGTGGGGGGATACTTTGTTTCTAGTTAGTCCCATATTAATGAGCATTTTCAAATTGTTGCCATATTGTTGAGTGATACATAAAATAAGGGGAGAAGAGGGTTACATGCACTTCAGCTCAAGCACACATGTAAATGCATACACACAACAATCAAGTATCAGTAAAGCACCTCCCTTCCAACATAGCTAAATATCGCTGAATGCTCCGGGTGTCAATTAAAAATGCAAGCAGATCCACTGTGAGATTAGCAGCATGTGTGTGCATTTAATATAATGGAGTTGTTATGTCAGCTTACTCATACATGCTTCCAAAGTCAGCACAGGACAGGTTGCTGCAGAAGGAGCGAACACAAGACGCAACCACATGGTAGAGCAGAGTCCTTTTGTAACAGGCTTGGCAGGACTGAAGCAATGATGTTCTCTGTGGGCGGGGGTCATGCCACTGTATGCGGAAAACTGTACTTTCATCTGTGAAATAGTAGAAGATATGCACCTTCCTCCTCCCACCTCCCACAAATGCCAAGATGGAACTCCTTGTTTACTTCTAGGTGAGAGATTTTCCTCCTACCCTACTCCCTCACCCTTAAAGCAGTCAGCCCAACCCTCCATACCTATAAGCTATGACCATCTCCCTTGTACGAAAGAATTGCACACTCTGCCACATTCATTTATTTTGCATCATTTATCTTCTCTCAGGTTGCAAAGAATGTCAACATTTGTGGCAGTGGTAAGGAGAAAGGCATAAATTTTGGAGGACTGTCATGGGAGCTTTAAGGACTCAAGCAGTGCAGTAGCTTCCCACTGCCCGATTGCTGGGCAGCCCTGTGCTCGTTTCTGACCTTTCAAAAGAAGCTTTGCATACTCCTCTGCAATTTTTCCTCCTCAGGCACAAGGGATACATTTCCGTATTATAGGGAAGGAAAAACAAGCAGCATTGGCTTCCACTTCTAGGAAGATCACTGCCTCTATCCCTATCCTGCACTTTTAACCGTTGGGTGACAGGCAAAAATTCACTAGGCCCAGGGTTCCTCCAAAATATACTGTTGCTGGGAGAAGCTTCCCCGCTGAATTTCAGCCAGCAGGTAAAGGCAGGGGAGCTCCATTTAGTGCTCACCACCTGGGGTCTCAAAAATTGCTCTCAGCAGTCTAGTTCAGGGTTCCAGCATAGCAGTTCTTCACAGATCCCCACATACTCCCCCCACTTTTTAAAACTTCATTCCCAGCTAATTCAATCCCTTACCTTTTCTATTCCCTGTCTACAAAGTATTTCATTTTCCCTGCCAATGCCATTACAGGTAAGACCCGAGAGAGGGTAGAAACAGTCTGACTTGTTCCACCAGGAGTAGAGTAGTAAATATTGAAATGTGGGCTCTTACCCTGACAACACCAACCACAATGCCCCCAAGGACAGTCCAAAAATTCAGGCAACTGTGTTGATCCATTTCAAAAAAACAGTTTTAGCTGTTTTCATCTCCACCAGAAGCAGGTGGAAATGAGGTCTTTATTGCCCATTCAAGATCAGGCCACCCCAAAATACTCTGCATTACACCAAGGGAATATATTGCTGTTGGGGAGATACATACTTCCCCCACTACAGTGAGGTCTGAAGCAAAGCTCATTGGGGACACGGGGCAGGGATGACCGCTGTGGCCTTGGGGGGTAAAAGTGCCAGTGTAGGGTTCCTGCCACTTCGCCACAGAGCCCACTCGGTTAAAGAGCTGCTTTTAGCTTGAAATCTCCCAAGTACTTTCTCTACTCTCACAAAGGTCCCTCTCAACAATGCAAGCTTTGGCATGATATCTTTGGCTCCTCCACATGCACCCTCTCTTCCGATATCTTTCAAAGCAACCCCTTTCAGAACCATGAGTGGACAGATTTAAGGCAAAGACAAAGAAACTGTTACTTATCCCAAGAAACCCACTATGTTGCATGAGCGGAAATGGCTATTTTACAAAAAGATCAGAGCAGTACAGAGAGGTCCGCTAGCCATGAGGGTCAAATGCTAAACCTCCACATTGAATACATACACTATTAAATGCCACATGGGTAGGGATTAAAAAGGGGATGAATATCATTGTCAAGTCCTGCCTATAAACTCCCCAGCTCAGAGGGATTCAGTTGGCCACTGTCAGAAGACCCCTGCATGACTATTATGGTCTAACTGGTCATGTCAGTAGGAGACCCTCTGTTATTTAGCACCACCTCCTTTATTCCATACTATCCTGGGACAGGCCAAGTCTTTCAAAACAAAGGGGGAGAAGATGGAAATGCCCAATTCCTGGGGAAGGAGAGGGGAAGGCAGCTTTCAGAGTGGCAGTGTAAACAGAAACACACTGCTCCCACTCCTCTCCCAACACATGCAGCAACTGGCACAAGCGAGATGGAGCAGCGTGCTTCAGACCAAAGCCCAGGTGAAGTCTTGGGTGCCACGGATCACCTGACGGTGCTCAGTTAGTTCCCAGCTTGTCCCATCTCCTGTGGCACAACCAGCAGCAACTCGCAGGGGCCCTGAGATAGCACCTCCTGAAGGAATATCCTGCAGCAGGGAAAGAGGAAATCATGAATCTAACATAGCTGCTAGAGCAGGACCCCAAATATGCCTTCCCAGAATGCCAGCACCCCAGCAAGCAACAAGGCAGCTGCTCTCCAATTTCAGCCTTGCCCCTTTGCCAGCTCCCACCTAGAGGCCTCTGGCCCGTCCAGCTCAGCAGCAGTCAGACCTCACCCAGAGTACAACACATCAAAAGGAGGAATGACATTCCAGAGGAGTTACTGGGCTGGCTTTGAGCAGAAGACAGGCAAAGCACTGCAGTGCCTTTGCAGACAAGCTGGCTTACAGTGGCTTTTGAGGGCAAGAGGTCATCCACTGAGCCTTTATGCTTTGATACTCCAGCAAATGTTTAGATTATAGATGGCATTCATGCTTCACACCCCCAGATGACCAGATTGTGCTCTTCACATTCCCTGTCTTGCATCTCCTTACCTTGCTAGCTTGGTTGATCCCATGTTGATCCCCTTCCCAAGCTCTATGCACACAACCTACCAGCTTTTCCCAGGATATTACAATAGAATATGTTCTTGTCTGCTAACCCCTTAGACCACAAGAAGTTGGTTTGCTTCTATTTGAAGTTATTTTATTTTATTTTAAGCTGATCCTCCTGCCTTTCCGCTGTTGGATCACCACAGCAGCTGGCAATCCCAAAATAAGTCATCAAGTAAAAATTGCATTGATTAAAAATATTGCAGCACACAATCAGCATTAACAGAAAAAGGAGCAGCAATGGAGAAGCAACAATTGACAAGAACACATACATTATTACTTGTCAAAGCTCAACAAAATGAAGTTTTGAACTACAGCTGCAAGATATTAATCTATTTTCAGGGCTTGGGGTAGAGAACAACTTTAAAAAGTGGCCCAGTCATTCAGCAGATTTTATAAATGAACTTTGTTATTTTTAATACGATTATTGTAAAAAACTGTAGATGGCAAATGCCATTATAGCAGAAGTATCCCCTCCTGTATAAGGAGGAATGTCTCTGAAATGCTGATGGATACAACACATGCATGAATCTCCCAAAAAGCACACAAAGAAAATATTATTTTGCTTCTATTTTATCTTTAGCTATAACTGTATGAAATTATAGCTATAGCTATAAACGTCTGTGTTTTATACTGATATGCGAATATGCAAACTTATGCAATTAAACAACAGTAGAACCCTGTCTATGGTTTACTCCGAAGCAAATGCCACCATGTTCAATGGACCTTACTCTCAGGTAGGTGCCCCAAAGACTGCCACCTGGTTTCTTTACTTGGATACAAGTCCCAGTTTTAGCATAGTGGCTAAAAGAAGAGACATGCCAAAAGTATCACTGGAAAAAAATACTGCTTAAGACAGGGCAGTGCCATGCAAAAGAGCCCACAACTTCCAATACTACACATCTATGGTCACTTGGCAAAGTACTTCAATAGCAACCTCCAGGAAGGGGGCCTGAACTCCTGCCAGCCCCTGTCGAGTGGTCAGTGACTAGGGATGTGGGGATGCAGGAGTTCAAACCCCTTCAAGGTGTGAAATCCACCACTCCCAAGACAGAACAAAGTGGCACTTCAGAGACCCTGGTCCCGGGCAGTTCTAAGATGGCCTCAGATGTGTGCATCTGAATCATCAGATGTGTCCAGGCTGAAAAAGGTGCAACACTTACCATTTACCATGTCTTATTATCTGCAGCTATGAATTTTCTTGTCCTTTAATAGAGTTTTCTATTTATTGTATGATATGCTTTTCTGTAAGCACCTTGAATTCACATTCAGAGCAAGAGGACAGAATAAGAACTGTAAAGCGAACAGAGAGACATTCCTAGAGTGATACCAAGGGCAGGAGGCCTGGGGCTCTCCAGATGCTTTTGGCCACAACCCCCATACTCCAAAACCAATGGATTATGTGAGCTCTACCCAAAACATGTGGAGGGCATCAACTTGTAAATTCCTGAATTAGACCATCACCAGCCTACCATACCTGAGATCTGCTTCACTGCCTATTGGAGCCGGAGCCTTCAGCTTGGAGTCAAGGTTGTAGTAGATGTCTTCATGCTGACGCACAGCAATCCAGTGCCGACGTCTCACAGGAAGGGACAGGAAGCCCAGACACACATTAGATGGGACGTTGATGATGAACCCAAAAACTCCTGCTAGGGAGAGCTGCTCCAGGGGCCTAATTCAGAAAGATATTCATGGAGTGCGGCAAGGAAAGCATAGTAATCCAAGAGCAGTGGTAGGCAATGCATATCCCACCCAAAGTTGCTGGAAGGCAGCTCCCGACAGCTGCAGCCAGCAGAATGAATGGTCAAGGATGATGAGAGTTGCAGCCCTCCAGAGGCTGCTTGAGTTCTAACTCCCATCATTCCTGACCTCTACTGGCTGGGCTGACTGGAACTGTAATCCAACAACTTGGATCTCCCCCTCACCACCACACAGCAATATGAAAGTGCAAGTACCGGACTTTGCCTGTTTCCCCTCTGTCCTCCTCATTCCATTTCCCTTTTGCATAATGCAAATTAGAAGGTAAGCTATAATTGTTAATGGCAGGCTACTGGCAAAATGATGATAGAGGAATATAAGTGAGCAGAAGGAAGAGAAAAAAGCCTTGAAAAAAGGAAGGGGCAGACCCTTGGCAATCCAGCTTTCATAGTGATAGAAAGCTTGCAGCTGCTTGGAGCTTGCAAGGGACTCGTGTATACCGGAGGGGAAAAACAAAATAAACCAGCCATCCCCATCCTTGAAAACACCAGGCTGGCAATGACTGGCAGACGCAAAGATGGAGGCAGAGGCTCACTCCCTGACCTGCGTTTGTCCCACCAGATGGCTTCTAGCCCAACACTTTGGAGAGCTGCCATGATGACGTTGACATCGTAGTTCCCTGTCCCTAGAAAACTGCGGTGTGGGTTCCATCGGGCATCAGGAGCTAGCCTATTGGAGGAAAAATGAAAAAAGGTCCCATTATATGTAACATCATAGCCCTGGACACACATGGGAGAAAAGCTGGGGTGCCACTACTCTTAATGGCCCCAGCCCTGCTCCCTTGTTGCCCCTTATTCCTAAAGCAACCTTGCAGCAACGAAGGTCAGGGATGAAAGGAGCTGGGGACCAAACAATGTGGAAGGCTCCAATCGGAAATGTGAACACCTGTTCTAACCCTTGATTCCCTTCTTCCTTTGCCATTTCTCCCTCATGTTAGCCCAGCCTACCCTCTCCTGAAGCTTGGACTACAATTCCTATCAGTTCCACCACTATGATGGTCTGTGTGCAGGGATAAGAGGGCCTGTAGTCCACAGCATTTGGAAGGCACCAGTTTAGGGAATGCTACACTAAAGCACTATACTCATTGATGTCACTGTGTTAATTGTGGTCATCTACTAGCAGCAATTTTATTCTTTTCCTGCAAATTTAGGCTCTCTTAACTTTGTCCAGAAGGACATTATTTGGCTTTTAAACCCGTATTTCACACATTAGTTTCATTTTGGTTGTTGTTCGATTCAAGGTGTCCAGGCCTTTATCCCTGGAGAGTTGCTCTGGAAAGCACATTGAAAATAAAAGATGTATACTTCTTTCTGTATAACTGTTGTCTTGGCTTTTCCAGAGAAATATTGTACTCTGGGGAAGTCTCACAGGCTCCTACTTGCCCCAGAACAACACTGCATAAATGAACTATAAATCAACAGATCTATACTGCAGAAGAAGCCGTATTTCAGATGCTTACTTATGTGGCTTGCACCTGTTCTATTGAAGTGGTTACAGAGCACAAGGTATTATCTGGATGGTGCTAATTAAAATGTCATGATGACCAATGGTCTTAAATGAAACTGTGTCTCAGCGTCTTGTGCAGGAAACCGTGGGAGCTGCCCATTCTGCTCATCAGGGATGCTGGCTGGACTCTCCCATCCGTGATGAGCAAGCTGAACCAATGGCTTCGAGGCACATGAAGAGAAGGTCCCCCATTCAGAAAGTGGCAGATGCAGGTTACATAGAAAGGAGTCTGCAGCATTCCTTTGCAGAACTGCTTTCGAAATAGATCCATTTAGGATCAGCAGGCAAGTTCAGTCAAAACCTGCACCATTCCCACAGTACCGTGGCAACCATCAAGTTTCCATTTGACATGTCAGGAAGATGTAGAAGGATGTGTGTGTGGAGCCCTGAATTTACTCCAGTTCAGCATGAATTTATATCCTGTCTTTTCTGCTCTTGCCAGCAATCCAAGGCAGTTTATATAGTCCTCCTCTGTTTAGAACTTCCAGTTTTCTAATTCTCATGATTATAAAAACACGAAGTGATACATTCCATACTCCAAGAAGTCATCTATACATGTCCCTGAAAACCAAAACCCAGACACATCTGAATCACCTTTTCCTTCCTACTCAAAATCTAGTCCAATAAGGACCAACAACTAAATTATAACTTACTTTTAAAAAATTCCTAAAAATTTAACCTGAAAATTAAATAAAGATTAGTTTCCATATACCACTTCTTACAGTTCCTGCCCACATTCATAACTGGCACCTATATACACATGCAGGCCTGAACATCACTCAGGACTAGCCACCTGCCAGTTTTCAGAACTGCAGCACGTTCACCAGTCCAAATGAATTTCTCCCCATGTTGCCATCATCCGGTTTCCACATTCTGCAAACTCTCAAGTTTAGAACTTGAAATTACAGTCATGTTAGTGGATACACTTATGCAACCTCCACTCATCCATTGGTGTGTTTTCTAAGTTACTAATTTTGAGCCCATAATTGAACTCCCCAGTATTCTGAAATAAAATAATAATAAAATATTTATTAATATACTTTAGTTTTCCTTTGGAAAACTAAACCAGATGTCTGTCAGAGGATGGTTGGGGTAGTGGTAGTTTTCCAGTTCGGGGGGGGGGGGAGCTATACTAAAGATAGCTATTTATAGGGTTCAAATAATTTAGAGCCACCTTCCCCAACCTGGTGCCTCCTGGATGTGCTGGAATACAACTCCCATCACCAAACCCATTGGGCTGGGATGATGTGAGCTGTAGTCCAACTACACTGGGGGTGGGAGATATGCTTATAGTGACAGAAACATCAAGCCAGATACCCAAGCCAATTACCTCTTGCAAATCTCATCAGCTGCCTCCTGGGTAAAAAGCCGTTCCTGCAGGACATTGTTGAGGGCGTGGACTGCACAGAGCTCAAGGCGCTGCCGCTCATGGTAAAGTCCAGATGCCTCGTTTGGTCTGGGGTTGCTGGACATCACATCCACAGAGGCCCGAAAGGCTCTCCCCCAAGAAATCAGCCCTGGAGACAAAACCCAATATGGATCACAAAGAGGAAGAAGGCAGACAAAACAATACAGTCCCATTAGTGGCCTGCAGCCAAACATTCGGCCATAATTTAACAGTCATACATGCTTACTGACAAATGCTTTGCAAGCCCTGGGTTGATGGGCTCTAGCCCCAGCCTTTGTCCTACAGCCCCAGATCTTTTCCATAGAGCTTAAGCATCAATAGATGTCAGTAGAATTTTTTTCTCAGATTACCTCCCATGAGTAGTTTTCAAGAGGCAGCGTAGCTGGAAAGGAAAGAATTAACCTTCCTCCACACATTTACCACAATTCAGCTTAAAAATAAAGTGACATTTTTCTATAAGAGCCAGTGGGGAGTTTTTCTTAAGTTAGATGCCATGCTGCAGCCCCGGGAGGCAGGGAGAGGTTTCCCATGGATCGTATTTGGAGAGGGAAGGGATATCCTTCCTTGGCTCATGCAGCAGGACACCCTAAAGTCCCTCCTCCATGTGACACTGAAAAAAACAAAAACAAAACAAAAGTCTTCCACTTGCGTCCATGGAAAGGTTAAGCCCAGAATCTTTTCTACATGCACAACGGTGGCTTGGGATTTCCTCACCTCTGCCCCTCCTGCCCGCTTGCAGGTCTCCCGTCTTTCCCTTCTGCCTCCAGCTTTTCCTTGCCCTCTCGGCTTCTTTCCTCTGGCTTTCTCCTCTGCCTCTCATTGCCACGTGTGGCGATCCTCACCCCTTCTCCCTGCCTTCTCTTCCACCCTTCTTTTCCCAGGCTCTTTTATGCTTGTTGTGCACCTTCGCGGGGATCACAGCAGCTCGGCCAATGGCAGCTAAAGTCTCTCCTGCCTGCCCCACCCTATTCCGACAGGAGGAAGGCTGGCAGAGGCTGCATCTGGCTCTCCCAGCCTTCTCCACACAAAACCCCAAACACGGCATGACGCAAAATAGCTCCAAATTGCACCCAGGGATCCCTACAGCCAGAGGCACACCACGTACTCTACAGGTGGAGGAGCAACACGCACCCTAAACTCCCGGCATGTCTACACATGTGTAGGATTGCACCTTTAACCTTAAAAACTGTAGCCATGAGAGTAATGAAAGGGCTGGCATTGCCACACATGCCTACCCTGATCAATATGCATTTGAGTGAAATGAGTATCCTTGTCCGTGTGGGTGTTTATTAGTAGGAAGCCACAAGCAGCAGTCATCATAGATATTTGCCATAGGTATTATAGTATGTAGGCCATAACCTTCACCATTACCCCATTTCTGTTCCAACAATACTGAAAATCCGCTGAACAATTCCATTCAAAGCAACCATTTCTCCACAACCCTAAAAAAAAGATACCTACATTTAAAGAGCAGAAACCTGTTTGTCTGCTTTACCAGTCAAAACAACTCGACTACACCGCACAGAGACGCGAGTTTTCCAGCCAACACCCGACCTGCTTAAGTCCCAAGGATAGGGTCGATCCATTTTAACAACAGGTTGTAAAGTAGCCTTGAAAAGTTAGAAGCTATCAGCATATGCGGCAAGAAACCAGCCCCCGGACTTACTAAGAAGCTCGCTGCCCCTAGCCCAGGCGTCTCCAGCCGGAGACCCTCCAGGAGTGTTGGAACACAATTCCTATCAGCCCCAGCAAGCGAGGGTTTCCCTACCCAATCGAAGAAATTAAGTTTCTAGAGACAAGTCCGGCGTGTCCACAGACGCACCCTTCTCCCTAAGAAACTTTCGCCTACGATCTCGTTCACGAGGATTAGGGGGATCAGCATACTCTGTACATGCTCTACAGTACCGATCCTCATTCAGGGCATCAAAAGCAGGTGCCTGAGCTTAAAGGACACCCTAAGACTATCCTCTCACGTTCACAGCCTCCTAACTTGTTTTGAAATCCCTTCCACCGAACACCCACTTTCCATGCCGCCCAGTTTGTGCCGCGGCAAGGCAAAGAAAAATCAAGAAACAAAGCGACCTAGAAAAAACATATCTTACCCTGAAGAAGCTGGAAACCCAACGAAAAGTACCCCCTAACACCATGACCGCCCCCAGAAAACGGTTTGTCTTAAAGGCCAAGCTGACAGTGCAGAGATGGGAGAAACTACTCCTCCCAGCAAGCGGAGGACGGTACATTAGAACTACAACTCCCGGCGTGCTTCATGAGCTAGCCGGAAAGTAGATAGGGAATCATCGTCCCAGAATACATCAGCAAGGCATTGGGAAAACTACAGCTCCCGGAATGCACTGGGGGAGAAGTATGGAAGGAACTAGAGGTGGGCGGGGGGCGCAGTTCCTGGCAAGAGGGAAGCGGGTGTAGAAGCTTTGAGTTTCATTGTGGCACGGGGCCCACTACAATTCCCAGCATGTAGCGCGAGGCTGGCTAAAAGTGTAATTAAAATGTACATCTCTCGTACCTCTGGTTTTTGGAATGTCAATGGTTTCGTTCCTTTCTCCAGGACAGCAATACGTTTTTCATATATAATAGCCCAGCCTTCCTCAACTTGATGCCCTTCAGATGTTTCAGCTTATAGCTACCAGCACTCCTGACCATTGGTCATACTGACTGAGGCTGACGGAAGTTGGAGTCAAAAACAGCTGGCGGCTGACAGGGTTTTCTGAGATTTGAAGTCCGAAACATCAGGAGACTTAGCTTCGACCCACCCCTTCCAAGGACCACAGCCTTCCCCAAACAGGTTATATCTAGGACTATTGAAACAAGCACTTAATGGCCAATTTACCCATTACATGAATCAGCCATTAGGTGTATGTGTCTGTTTGTTCCAGCAGTCTTAGGTGTAACCTGAAACCTATGTGACACATAGTAGAACAATTTCATTTAAGTTTGCTGCTCTTCCTCCATTGCGTTTGAACACTCTGACCATGCTTTCAACATTAAATTAACTGATGCACTTCCCCATCCCAGCCTTTTATATCCCCTGATCAGGAGGTCTCAAAAGTTTGGCCACAATGTTGTGTATGTTTGATTGCTCCTAACAGAAATATAGTCTGACCATGACATTTGGATTTTTTTCTTAAAGAACTCAATGAATTCTGTTTACTCAGGAGTAATTCTACTGAGGTCTGTAAGGGTTATTCCCTAGAAAGTATTCTTACACTGATAAGTTAACTTGGTGGCTGCCTTAAATCAAAATACAATGTCAAGAATAAAAAAGCAAGTGGAATTTTAAGTATCATGGGTCTAAAAGGATGGGAAAAATGAAGAAAAAACAGTCCAGTGGTTTGCCAAAAATATACTTTTATTTATTTATTTGTTTGTTTATTTATTTATTTGCAATGAATATTCAGGAAGGCAGATCAGACTCTTTCCCTAGTCTCTTTAGCTTCTCACTTTCTCTAAAATCTCCATGAATTACAAGAGAGGCTCTCTCTGGTTGACTCTTTTATGACTTGGTCTCAAGGAAGCACACACTGTATAATATCCTTAAAGTTATTGTGATGTGAATGGGTGGTGGGAAGGAGGCTAGTCTGCTGATGGACTGAAAATTCTACCGGGCTTGGTGTGGGCAATCTGTGGCCCTCCACATGTTGTTAGACAAAAACATCCATGGAATGTCCTTTCCCGGCAGGTATGCCTGTGTCTTTATGTTATATATTTAGTTCCCAGGTGTCTCGTTCTGAAACAGGCATATCACCCTTGTTGTGTTGCTCTGATGATTACTTTTATCTCTGTCTCTTTCATATTTTAAATATTTTAATGTTTTAATTTTTAACACTTTATTTGTTGGAGTTATTGCTTTGGTGATTAGTTGTATTTGTTTATTTTTATCTTTATAAATGGCTCCAGGGACATCTGCCAGTTGGGTAGTTTATATATTCAAGCCTGAGCATAGACCATTCAGGTTGGGGATGTTAGGAGCTGTAATATAATCTGGAAGAGAGTTGGGGATGATGGGAGTTGCAATGTAGCATAATCTGGAGGGCACCAGGGTATGGAATACTGATTTAAAGAAAGAGGCCAAGGTATAGCTGTAGCCATTGTTAGCTAAATGTTTCTGTTATTGAGGGACTAAAATCACAGAGGGCAGGAGGAGCCAGTATGTCAGCTTGATCAGTTGTTATTGTCTTTCCTTTCCTTCTTTCCTTCTGTTACTGAACCTCTAGTGCCAACCAATATCCTCAGCATGTATTCTTGAGAAAGTTGTGTTAAAGCTCAGCAGAGATAGACTCGACCGCCATGACCTTGGCATACTGCAGAAATGAAAAGAGAAGAGCTTAGTCAGAGCCCAGAGAATTGCATTCTTCCCCCATAAAAAATCGGCCTGCCCACAGAGTCTCCACCATATTTTCTGGAGTAGGACTTAGTGTTTGGCTCTGTGTGAACACTACAATTCTATATACATCTGCAGCTGGCTCCCAAGTAAGTGGGTCAAAGGGTTACAGTCTTTCTTGTTCCAGGCTTGACACTGGTGTTACTTCCACCTGCAATGCTTTCCTGAATTCACTCCTCAATTGTTGGGTAGCTAACTAAGAAACTTAGCTCTCTAAAACAGAACAGCCTCAAGAAACTCTAGAGTCAGCCTCCTGACTCTACCCATATACAATGAAGTCTAATGCCACCTAGTGACTGAATTGTATAATGGCACTATCCACTCAACTGCCTAGTTCTTTGGAACACAATGCATTTGTCATAATTTTCACAATTGAACTCTTGTAAGACTTGTACTTCCTAGGCCATGGGAGGGCATCTCGGGGAGGTTTGGGAGCCATTTTCACCCGTCACTGGTCACAGCATCCATGTGACCCAAAAGTGAGTAGGGGTCCCAGGAGGAGTGCTAGGGGGTGCTTGTGGTCCATGGGTTGCCGATGCCTTCACTAGAAAGGTTCAACATAAATTTTCTAAGAATTTTAATGAATAGCGGAATCTGCATAAAAGGTCAGGATGGGTCCAAGATGCATCATCCTGTCCTGCATCGAGTGCTTAATGATGTCTGCACAGTCCTAGCATCTCACTAGGCCTTTTCTGGGTGGTAAAGGAGGATATAATTCTACTAATCAGTTTTTTATATGACTCAAGGGTGGACAGCTGTTTTGGCCCACAACTTCCATCAGTCACATCCAGTATGGGCAATGGCCACAGATGACAAAAGTTATATTCAAAACCATCAGGTCATCAGATTTTAGAAGGATGCAGTCGGGTGGCCAGATGGGAAACTGGAAAAACTCCGGCACTTTCAACAGTTCCTTAGAAGAGGAATTTTCTGCTATCAGTATATGAACCTAGAAGAGGTGGCTTGTTACATAGACCTGCTGAAAGGCCCTCTTTTACACAGCCATTAAAGGTGCAGGAACTCTGTCCTCTTTTGCACCTGACCACCCTATAAAGCAGGAGTATCATTTTTTCTATTATAATGCAAGCATTAGGATTTGGATTAAAAGGCCCAAATGGTCAAGATTAGGATTAAGAAATGGCCAACTTTTCAGGACCGTTTTCAGAAATTATACTGGAGGTACAGAACAGCCAGAACACTGGTGTACCTTATGTGATTTAGTTAATATAACCATATGTGATTTAGTTGCTTAATGAGCAATTAGGTAAAACATGAAACCTGCAGTAAAATGCAGTGTTTCGGTTCAGGGAGTCTGCCTGCCAGCCATGTCCCTGTCCAGGATACCATTACGCGCACAAGCACGTGTGCACACACGCTACATTCTCTGCCAGCTGAGCGTGTTTACTTATTGTAGTGCTGGTTGATGTTCCACCGCATCCCCCAGGTTGTATGTACTTTTGCAAACCTTGGGATTTCTCTGTGCCTGCAGATAGATCCCTTTTTGCATGGGAGGTGCGGCTTTGGCTACAGAACAGCAAATAGTGGCATACAGGATACTGCCTGTATTCTCATCCTTACATCTGCACAAGTAAAAGAGCTAGAGACTGCCTTTTGAAGAAGAAAATGAAACAGAATGGAACAGAACGAGAAAAGAAAAGAGAAAGCTGGAAACACAAGGAGCCACGTGGGACATCACTCAAGAGGCCTGGCTCTTAGAAGTCCTTCTGTGGCTACAACTCTGCAAAAGATGTCTTTATTTAAGATGCTGTAGCAAAGGATAAAGACACGGTTACTGTGCAAGTCATTATTTAAGCAAGCTGGTGCAAGATCAGGAGAGTTAGCAGATTCCGGGTTTGGGAAGGTTCTGTCCTTACCCAACAGGCTGCTCCAGAAAGCAGCAAATGTGGCTGCCCCTGTGACAGCCCCACTAGCAGCTGGGTTCTTGCGCTTGGTGCTGACGGAGAACCCGCCTGGTCCAGTTGCCTCAATCTCTACCACGTGGTAGTTGGGGAGGCTGCAGTAGAGAAATGCACTCAGTTAGACTTGATGGTGTAGTGGCGCTGTTCCCTTGACATTGCTGCTCCCTTCTAACTTCGCTGCACGCTGGAGCTGGAGGAAAGTGGCTTTTCCCAGCTTCCAGATTATTGCTCTGTGTTATAATACAAAGTTAACTCGTGATGGGTGGGTTTATTGACTTGCAGGCAAAGGGCCAGTTTTTGCTTACAGTGAGGGCAATAAGCCATGGTCATATATTTTTCCTGCTATGCATGCAGGTTGGATCTCCTTGATTACTGTTGCTGGCACTTGTCATATCATGCAAACCCAGGCAGCATGGTTTATTTCTGGGGGCAGCAACCCTCCAATAACCCATCAATAGGCATTAGGTTATTGGAGGGTTTCTGCCCTTGCAAATAAGCATTGCCATCTGGGTTCCCGTAACACAGAAAGCAAGGCCAGCAAGAGTAATCAACAAAATCCAGCGGGCATGCCTGGTGGGGTTAACAAGACACTGTGGCTTATTAACCATGCTGTGACTGTGCAAACTGCGTCAAAACTGAGCTCTCCTTACAGCATGACAGCCCTCCGTGGGATATTTGACCCATGGTGAGGCTTCAGGGAACATGTGCCCACCATTCTGAATATGTTTGCTGACGATTGTCGTGTTGCATGAACCCAACAAACATGAGCTATGTAAGGGGTGAACCCATGCTAACTGAGTTCCTGTTATTCAATAAAGCCTGAATGGGAGGTTGGATATGCAACATGGCACCTACTGCAGTCCACCACAGTCCATGGTGTGCCGTCTGTCTTTCTTCCAAGTACTGGAAGCGCCTGGAAGAATCTGGGGCTGATAGTCTTACCATCCTGGAGACATGGCAAATCCATCTCTTCCTTTTTCGTGCAGTCTCAAGTCTCTCCAGCCAAACACCAATATGCTCAGCGCTACACTACTATTTGCCAGTTTGCTATTCTGTTAATCTCAGCTGATCCTAATACGCTTGGATTATGCCATGCACTGCAGCCCTACCATTACATCAAGTGCTAACATGTCCACAGACCAGGTGGGGTTAGGGAACTCACTCAGGATCAGCAATGAGGCAGCCTTTCACACCATCGAAGCCCAGACTAGGGGCAGCCATACAGGCTGCTGCCATGGTGTTGACATTGTTGGGAGCCAGAGGACACAGGCTACGCACAGGGCCACTGTATAGCACCACACGCCCCTGCCGGGCCCCTTGGGCAAGGTTCCTCAGGTCCCCCGCCAGCCGGAAGCTGTCAGGGTGTTTCACCATGGTGACTGTTAATGCCTAGAAAAGAGGTGGGGAGGGAACCGGAGTCAGAGAATTGACATATCCTCAAATTTCCCTTCCTTTTAGTTGCTTAATTTGTAAGCTCCGTGGGGCAGGGGACAGCCACACACCTTGATGGTGTAGAAGACACGCTAATATGACTAGCAAAGATAATAACCAATAGCTTAGCCTAGAGTCTGTCTTCCTTGCAGAGTCAGTATGAGGATCAAATAAGAAATGTAAGAATTCTAAAGCAGTGTTTGTCTACTTAGAAGCACTACAGTAATTGACAATAGCCCTTTGAACCCGAGGTCATGTCTGTGCCAAGGCACTGCAAACCTACAAGTGGTTCCACCATGGAGAGCTCTGGCTGTGGGGCAGTACAGAAATGAAATCCTCCTCTTCCTCCTCCATCATCATCATCATCATCATCATCATCATCATCTGGTTGTGGGTTAGTTGCTTCCCTACATAATCTGGCCCCATGCTATGCTAGGAGCTTTGGTCCACAGCAGGAGTGGGCAATGTGTAGCTCTCCTGGCCCTTTTTGTGTCCTGCCACCCTTTTCTGTTATACAGGAATCAAGAAACATGTTTTTTTTTTTTTCCATGAGATGTTGGCAGCAGGGAGTAGGGATTCCTTGGATTCCTACATGAGCTTCGGAGGCTGCGAGGGCCAGGGCTTTGGAGATAAGCATTGTTTGAGGGGGTAATATCTGTGCTGAACTGTATATTAACCAGGCAGTATTTCACTATAGTACAAGAGCCTTCCACCTTGCTGAAGCTAAGCAAGCCTGCGACCGGTCAGTGCCAGGATCAGTGACCTGCTGGAGACCCCATTAAGGCTTTCTTGAATTTCATCACAGAGGAACAGCAGTATATAAACGTAATAAATCCTAATAATCCTCGCAGTAGGTCAGCTGCTGTCTGCTTCTTCCTTTACTCCTCTCACTCTGCCTTCCCATTTCTCAACTCTGCCTTCCCATGCAATGACCCTCCCTGGGATCTTACCTGAAGCATCCCTGCCTCATCCAGTCTTTGGATGTCTTGGCCACCCCATAATGCCCCACTGGGGATATAGAGGGTATGTCCGGTCTTTCTTGCAGTTTCACGCAGTTTCAGCTCTGTGCCTAGATCCGCCAGGGCTGTTGGTGAGCCCACCTAGTGGACATAGAGATGTTTGCAATGAAGTGGCTGGAAGTTGTGAGTGGCAGAGAGGACCCAGAAACGCGGAGCTTTCATGTCCCTACCTATTTGCTTAGCAGTGCCAGATAGGACTGAACAGATTCTGTCAAATCCATTCCAGCTGTGTTTCATAGATTCTCAGGCATCTTTTGTTCTGTGCCCCAATCACAGATAGGATTGGATTTTTGTTAGGGATGTGCAAGGATTTCAAGGCCATCACTACATCTGGTGGTGAATTTCATTCCTTAAATCAGGGGAGCTGAACCTCTTCTAGGCCTCAGGGAATTGGGCAAATTCAGCTGGGTTCAGACAACATGTTAACCTACATTTCAACCACAACCCACAGCTCACTGACAAGTCATATTCAACCCTTGAGTACGGGCTATCAAGTTGTCTGTCATTGAGGGTGTCTTGCCCAGGGGCCCTCAAAACTTGAACTCAGCTCTGCCTAGGAGCCACGATTCCCTCTTCCTCCGGGAGAGGAGAGCACTGACCTTGGAGAAGGAAATCTGATCTTGGATCTCCTCCATTGTGGAAGCATCCTCCATGCAGTCAGAGTCTCATCTCAGGGGAACAGGCACATCAGAGATGTGCCATTAAGCTGAAAAGGAGGAGCGATGGACCCATGGCCCTCCCAGCTTCACTCCCAGGATGTGAGCTGCCCTGAAGCTCACTTGGTAATTTTGGGTTGGTTCCTGGGTGCGTCTCACAGGGTGCTGTAATGATAACATGGAGGGGAAGAGGGGGACCATGTAAGCCATCTTGAGTTCCTTGCAAGAGAAAAGAAGGGATAATAAATAAAATTAAGCATGGTCCTTGGCATCAGCGCTGCCTTGGGGGTTTTGAGGGCCCTGGGGCAACACACCCCTTCCTAAGTGAGTTCCCTTCATTGTCATCACGGCCACCTCCAGTGAACAAGTGCCATCTATTGCTTCTTACCACCACCACCAAGCCCAGGATCTGCACTGGGACAACAGGCAGGTGAATCTGCTGGTGCAGTGGAGAAAAGGAGGAGCAATCACAGAGTGTTCTCTGCCAGGGGGGCCCTGTTGACATGTGAGCCCATGGCAGTTGCCCAGCCATGCTTACCCTCGATGCCGGCCCTGACTGCTACAGCCATTCATAAATGCAGTGCATTTATGAGGCCGTTTGGTAGCATTCTTTGCAGCATGTCCCCCTCTATAACCAAAAAACTGGATCTGGATGCAGATCTCTGAAGGGGAGGGAAGTAGTTATCTATTCCACTCATTCACAACATTCATTGAGTGGACACAAGCAGTAGCTCACAGAGTTCTTGCATGTATAAAATGATATGTGACCTGTAAAGCATTTTGTACATTGACAGCAACATCTGGTGCACATTTACTAAGAACAAAACCTCACTGTGAGCTCAGCGGGACAGAATCCACTGCAACTTTGAATGAATTGTTAGCCTTTAAAAAAGAAATAGTATAGAATCATAAATGATCAACCCAGAGTGAAATTTTGGTGGCATGCAGGTTAAATAATACTCAGAGATAAAAAGACAGAAAACATTAAAAGTGAGGAAGTATGATCTTGATGTGAAGGTCATTTGACCTTGTATGTGATTGTAGGAATTGGCCAGAAAGATTATTTTCACTGAAAGAAGCAAGAAGAGGAAACTCGCCCACTCGCCTTGAAGAGCCTGTGCTTGCTCAGGGGACAGAATGTACTGGTGCCAGCTGCCTCTCTCTGGAGCAGAGGTGTTACATCTCAGGCCTGCAGAAAAAATTTGGCCTGCCTGGATTCCCAACTGGCCCTCAGTGGTTCTCTTCTGCATGTCCCCTTCCCCTGATCCCACTCTTTTCACTGCAACCACTGATCTTTTGGTGTTTTCCTAATTTTACACATTTCCCCGCACCTACCTGGTCTAGGAGGTCACGACACCTCTCCTAATACTTTGTTACTGGCAGCAAACACTTTCAGCTGAAATATGCTGACATTTTAGCTCTGCCAGCCTCTGGAAAGCAGCTCCCAAGAGCTTTTCCAAAATGGAATTCAGCCCTGGACCTCAACACCCATACTCTGGAGGCACTTGGAACCCTCACCATGAAATCTGCAGCTTGGAGAAAGGACTCCCCATGATTTTGGGCAACGCACGGATGTGCCACTTCAACAATGATGTCGGCATGGCTTTGGAGAGAGCAGACAGACACAGTAAGAAAGCTAGATCAGTACTGATGTCAAGCCACTCTCGGTAGGTTGTTTTCAGTACACATGGATAAATCTATCCCTGAATTCATAACCATTATATGGGATCAGCAATTTCATTAGGTAGACTGAAGCAGCTAGTGCAAGCAGGTGATGCTAAACCTTGGGGAGCGGCACTTGTGTGACACCCAGTTTCCTTTTGGCTTTAAATTAGCCTTCTGAACTGACAGTGTTGAGGTCAGATTCAACAGCTCGTCCAGTGGATTCTGTAGAATGAGGTGGGCTGGTGTTGGGACACCTTGTCTTTTGCCTCGGGCAGCCAGATAGCTTGAGCCAGCTTGGTCATTACTGAGACATACAGTGTACAACTTACCTGTGACTGACATTTCCACAAAGGTGTATTATGGAAAGGTTACATTAGCATGGATACCCCATATAATTTTGCAGGGATGACCTCATGGAGAGATTCCGGAAGGATGGGTCTGAAGCATGCTGCCATCTCAAATCACGGGATACATGATTAACCCCAGAATTGCTGAAGTTACAGGTGATGTGCATCTCCTCCTCCTCCTCCTCCTCCTCCTTGACTCCTCCTCTCTCTCTCTCTCTCTCTCTCTCTCTCTCTCTCTCTCTCTCTCTCATTCCTTGTTATTGTCTGTTTTTAGTCTCCATTTTAGCTATTTCAAACTGCTTAATTTTGTCTGATTTTATGATATTTTTTATCATCCCTTTTTATGGGCTATGTAAACCACCCGGAGAGCTTTGGCTGCGGGGCAGTATTGAAATGAAATGAATGAATACAATAACTACATCTCTCCATTCCTGTGTGGATATCCAGGGCCTAACAATATATGTGTTCCTGCTCACTCTGTGATGCTCCTGGGGAGCCTGGTGGGGATCCACTGCTCAGTCTCATGTGCCCCCCCCCCGCAATTAAAAATTAACCACATCAGCTCCATCTTGGAGAAGCAACCAGAGCTCAGTGGTAGGATACTTCCTTTCTATGCAGAAGGTCCCAGATTCTGGCTTTCCAAACAGAACAGGTGTCAAGTTCCAGGAAAGATGCTTTGCCACCTGCGATCAGGGGAAGCCATGGGCAGCCAGACTGGACCAGAGGTGCAGCACCTGAGGTTTGGAAGCCAAAGCTGGCCTGCCTAGAATCTCAATGCAACCCTCCCAGGATAGCCATGCCCCTTTCCTCAACCACTGACCTTTCGTTGGTTTCCTAGCCTTTTTCTGCAATTGCATCTCCTCCCATTCTTAAAGGTCACAATGGACTCTCCAATCCTTTTGTTACCAGCAGTAAGAGCTTCAAACTAGGATATGCTGCTAGTGTTGACCTTACCACCTTCTGCATTCAACCTCATCCACCACTGGAATGACCCCCATCCCAGGAGCTTCCCTGAAACGGAATGTGGCTTTTGGCTGAAAGAGGTTCTGTGTAGCTGGAGAAGTCCGTGCTGGGCTAGATAAGCAAACAGTTTCACCTGCTTTCACCGATTTCTCTCTGTGGAGGCCCTTCTCTGGGTGCCACTGCAAAAGGGATTTTGTCAAGAACCTACAACAGGGAGGGCCTTCTTGGTTGTGGCACCCCATTTCTGTAATGCGCTGCTCAAGGAGGTTAGCTAGCATCCATACTATTATCTTTTCAGTGCCAGGCAAAGAGATTTTTCTTTTCAATGACTGCTTTTTAAAAAATATTTTATGCATATTTATTGTTTCTCATTTCTTTTTCTGTGCGGGCTACCTTGAGAACTTTTGTTACTGAGTGGCCTCTAAATAAAAATGAAGCTGCCTTGGCCCGCCTAGTTCAAGACTGTCTACCCCGAGGTGGGTAACATGTGGCCTTCCGAACGGTTTGGTCAAAACCCCTATTTGTCCTAGCAAACACACCCAGTGATAAACGATAGTGGACGTTGTAAGCCAATCATCTGAAGGGCCAAGAGGTACCCACAACAGGCCTACATGACCTGGCAGTGATTCTCAAGAATCTCAGGCAGGCTCTTTCCCACACTAACCTAGAGTGGCCAGAGTCCAAATCTGGGATTTTCTGTATGCAAAGCTGGTGCTGTGCTTGTGAACGCCAACCTCATTATTGATGGTTCGTGCAGTCCCAGGCATGTCTGCTCAGTACTCAGCCCCACTGCAATTCAGTGAGATGTACCCTCAGGTCTCTGCATAGAGCAGCTTCACCAACCTGGTGCCTTCCAGAAGTGTTGAACTAAATCCTGCACCATCCCCAGTCAGCATAGCCAGAAGTTGTAGTCCAAACATCTGGAGGGTACCAGGTTGAGGGAAGGCTGGCCCAGAGGGCTGAAGCCAGAGCATTTATGGGATGCTGCCATGCCATGGATGGACCTCCGTCTTCTCCAATCTTGTGCTTTCCAGATATTTGGCTCTCTATCTCCTATCAGTCCTGGACAGTATGATTGTTGGTCAGGAGTGTTAGGAACAGTAGTCCAAAACAGTCGGAGGGTGTACACAGGGTCATATGTGCCTGTAGATTTATGGTGGGTTCATTCTTCTTATTTTTGCCCTGCCAAAAACCATCTCTGGCTAGACTTGCTTGCTCACCACTCCAAGAAATCAGTCAGATTCCGCAACTGCAGCTCTGCTGGCACTGTCTCTTCCAGCTTCCCCGCATCCCGGTTCCAAACAAAGGCCAATTCCAAGCCATGTTGGAAGCCATTTTCTAGGAGCCGTTTCACTAGATACTGGCCTAGAGAAACAAAGTGGGAAAAGAGCATTGCCAATGTAGAGATTGGCTCTGTTTCTTCCATATCCCAGTCTGTTTCCTGCAGAGACACAAAAATCATCTCCAAAAGCTTGGCATGTTTGCGTGAATTTCTCTGATTCTTGTCAGAATTCATCCCCCAAGGCTTTGTGTCACTAATGGAAGAGTCAGAGACCTTCATGTCATTAAGGACAGGAAAAAAATAAACCACATCCCCAACATTCCTGGGAGAGAAGAATGGTCTTTGTGTGGCAAACAAACTAACAATGTAGGCTCCCAGGTGAACCTTCGTAGGAAGGGCATTCTATATTCATTGGTATGAAGAGAAGCCCAGCTAGCTAACCAGTAGGCTTTCTTGCAGGATATAAAGCAGATTCCCCGGGAAGGGAGAGTGCCACTGTGGCCCACAGAAGGACTGGCATGGAGGACTCATCATCACCAAATTCATGAGCCAGACCACCAATTTTCAGAAGATATGGCAGTGTGGTAGGATTCTAAAACTAATGCTCTGTTCCCCAAAGTAGGACACAATAAAATGGTTAATAAAATTGTTCATTCCTGGTTTTTAATGTTGTTTTGAAATTTGTTTTAAAAATCTATATTACTACAGGACATTGGACAGTTTTGCCTGAGGTGGGCACACATAATGGTGGTGGAATCCACGTTTCCCACCTGCACTAGTAAACCAAAGTTTGATATAGGAATTCATGAGACCCATCTTAACATTATGATGGACAGAAGAGGGAAATTGTCAAGATGTGCCACATACCTAGATGTCCATAGCCCACAATTCCAACGCGCCTCTTCCTCAGGCTACCAGACATTTTTCCTGCATGTTATAAGGGTGGGGTGGGGGGAGGGAAGAAGCAGCTATGTAAGTCATATGGTTCATCGCTGAGAAGAGTCTTGGTGCTTCATCTTTGCCCAGACTTGCAAGGGGAAAAATAACAGTGGGAAGACTAAGAGAACTGCAAATAGAAAAATCAATGGTAGTGTTGTTTACATAATACGTTCTGCATTCAGCTCTCCCTCTCTGTACATATGCAACTCTCTCTCTCTCTATCTCGATGTACACAGACAGAAAGAGCTACTGTGCCATTCGCTACTTCAACAAGGAGCAAGCTCTTTGAATAGAAGAGCCAAGTCTTCATCGCTGGAATTTTGCAGCACTCCGTCACTTGATCAATTGCTCACGGCAGGAAGTCTGTGTGAATGGACTTCATTGCAAAACATTTGTATTGGAAGGCTAAACTGCACACAGCATTAAATATGTAACATGTGACTGCTCCTTATCATTTGGGCTGCTTTAGCATAAGCAGGCAGGAGCCCAGCTTCAATCAGAGCCACTGTGTATGAGTAGGGCAGGGTTAGGGGTCTTAAACAAACCAGCCTTCCGTAGATGCCAAGGCAGTTTCTTCTAGTTTTACTCTCCGTAGTGGCAGGGTGTGAGTGTGTGGAATTTGGAAGGGAAATCAAAGTGGCTGGGTTGGAAGGTTTAAACCTCCCCCACCCACATGTGGGGGTTCTGATCTGCTTGCACTAAGTCAAACAAAATAGTGAGGATCAGCTGCCCTCTTTGCATTCAAAATATTTTGTAGTTTAGCCTTGCAATGCTATGCTCTAGATCAGTGGTCCCCACGTTTTTTGGGACTGCCACCCCCTTTCTTCTTGGGTGACAACCCTAATGCCTCCATGCCTCTTTCTTTATATTAGATCTATTGCTCTACTACAAATTTTAAACAACCAAAAACCCAGCAGCCCTCTGGATCTTTCCATCGCCCCCTTTGGGAATTACTGCTCCAAATAGATGACCGACTCACACCTGCAAGCCATCATTTGTGGGTGTCATTATCAGGAGATGGACATGCCCACGAAACAATCCTAAGAAAGGATGATGGTCTTCCTACCCATCCTTTACATTTTTCATGCCCAGGTTCTTGCCTTCCACCTCCTCCCCACCCTCCACCAAGAAAAACCATCTGCTTCTCCAGGCTTCCTACGGATGGCATCCAACATTACATGAGCAATATCTTCTCATACAATGAATGCTTTTTTTCTCCTCCTCCCTCCTCACACCAAGACAGGCAGAGCTCTTTCCTCTATTTGAAGGTGTTTTCTCTTCGAAGTCCATCCAGTCCAAGTCGGTTGTAAAGAAAAGGAGCTGCGAGAACGGCTGTTGCCCAGCCACACCTGGGCAGCAGCCTGAAGGGGCTGCAGGTCACCCGGGCACAGTCTTTGATCCTATGGTGAGAGGTACTGTACTTCTTTTTAAATTATAATTACTTCTACCTATTTCTAATACAGTTATATTAGCATATATAAATGTTATGCAAATTATTAATCTCTTTTGAAGTGATAATTTCCTCTTTTTTGACAATTCATATGTGGCTACCCTAGTTGAGAGACCCTCTGGTCCTGCCTTGGAGGGAGAACCATGAACAGATACAAGGTTGAGAGAGATTTGATTGGCCTGCCAGGTCCCTGGCCCAAATCTATATACCAGGGCCCTGGCTCTTCTCTCCCACAGCCCTGAGCACCCACTGGTGCCAACAGGGGGATTTTTCATCAACTTAATTGCCATACAGGAGTGATTTTCAAAGGATGGACCGCAGCTGCAGAGGGAAAGGTGAGCTCTTCCTTCTGCACATGCTGCAATCCCCACCCTGGTGCTAATGATGTTTTCCCCCAGCCTTGTTTTAGATCCTTTCTCTTTTGCTCTCTCTCTCTCTCTCTCTCTCTCTCTCTGTGCATGTGTGTATCATGATAAAGCTTTCCAGCCACTTTTTAATTCACTTTTTTAACCTATTCACAACCATTACATTGTCATTGGAGAGGAAATACTGATTTCAGTTGATCCAGAGGATTGGAGGGGCAAATTAATGAATTAATTACATTTGGCATGATTTGGGTGGGAAATCAATTTGCTGGCTTTGTTGTCCATGAAACTTAAAGAATGCTTAGTAATTATCCTAAATTTGTATATGCACAATATGTACATCTTATGCAGATTTGTGGCCCATGGTTCTGGGCCTGGCATCCTTTCTGTGCTGAGCAGGGCCTCCCTTGACGGTGATGTCTCTTCTGGTGGCCACAGCACACTGCAGGATACAACTCTGTAGATCATTCCCTCTCTTTCCAGAGTTCCAGTGGTGGTACCATTTAAGGTAGCCACCTAGGCATCTCCAGAAAAGAGGAGATGCATCACACACAAAAAATGGACCAATGAGGAAGCACAGCAGGTTGCATAATTTTTGCATATGCATGTTGATATGCACCACCACAGCTTTAAAAATAGCTCATTTAAACAGATATGCAAGACATCTCACTATAGTATGGAAGAGTGTGACCAGGTGACCTGGGTGCCTCCCTGTCCAGGTGCCAATGCCTGATCAGCCACTTCAAGGCCTCTTCCTACCCCTTCTTATGGCTTTCTGGCATTGCATGAGACTTGGACTGGGCAGTGCATCAGATAGAGGATGCCATCAAACAAGACAGTCATCTGGCCAACCTTCAAGTAGAGGTCCTTAGGGACATCCTAGTCAGGAGTGAGCATGCTCAGTGGCCCTGGAACATGGCCTGACTCCTGGGGATGGGGAGAGGAATGGACTGGCTTGAATCCTGAACACAGAGCCAAGCACACTACAACATACTGAGAACGCCATCATGTTGAGTAGGCCAATTCCCCAAGGAAGGAGACCTTGTCCAAGGGCCCTCAAAAACCTGGAGCCTGCAGTGTCTGTGGACCCCCTCCCCCAACCTGGTGCCTTCCAGCTAGGGCAGTTGTCAACTCCAGTGACCCTCAAAGAACTCTCTTGGCTGAGGATGATGGGAGTCATAGTCCAGCACAACTGGAAAGCACCAGATTAGGAAAGGCTGTTCTAGACTGAACCCCTCCACTTTTTGAGTTGACTCACCACGGTTCGCTGTACTTATTCTCTGGCTCTCGACAGCTGCAGATCCCAGCAAGAAACAGAAGAGTGATGTCTCTTGGTGCCCTTTGGTCAATCAATCTTTGGGAGAGGTTAATGATTAGCCCAGGCTGAGCCTGGAACCCTGTGGGGGAACAGGCTCTTGGTGAACAGATGCTAGCAGGCTTCCTTCCTAAACTCAGGTGGCTGGCTTCAGTCCTAACAACAGCATAAAGAAATTACTTTAATGTGTGAATGTGGCCTCTCAGATTCATCACTGCAGGCTGAGTTTCCACACTGGAAGGCTGCCAACCTGCCCTCCACAAAAGAGAAAGGATCTAAACAATCTGGATGCATACTACCACTAAAGAATTACATTTTCTTACCTCACATCTTAGACTGGGATCATAAATACTTTATTAGTATTTCATTCCATTACTCATGATGTTAATGACTGAGTTCAGACACTATGATAACCCACACTCAAAGGTTAAGTATTGGTTGTGTATGAGTTGTGGCTAAACCATGGGTAATTGTTGAAATGTGGGTCATTGTGCCATGATGAACCAACCATGGTGCACAACCAAACAAGAAACCATGGCTTCTTTTCATGGGTTGTTCATGCTCGATAAGTCATGGTTTCTTAGCCCAGCTTGGTTCAGAGACCCCATTAACACATGGTTCAACAACAATTCACAGTTAACCCATATTTAGCATTTGAGTGTGGGACATTGTTTTGTGTGAACCCAGTCAGTGTCTTCCCCAAGACAGAATCTCCAGCCACCATCTCAGAAAGTATCCTGGCTGCCACTTCTAACCTCACTTGGCTGTTATAATTCCTCCTTATCCCAATACAAATTTTGGCATGTTTCCACTTTGCTCAGTCTTCCACCCCCCTGCTGCTGCGACTTGAACTTTTGCAAGTTCTTCTTCTTGGCCCCCTTGATAACTGCTGAATTTGCACAATTGCACCACTGAATGCAGAGGATAAATTGGATTCAGTGTACTGAAAGATAGGCCCTCCTGCCCTAACCAAGGGCCAGACCTGGGACAGGCTGATGATGCTTGCTGGATAGAGCTTCTGCTTGAAAGAATTAGCAGACAAATTAACCAGGACTCTGTCTATGGTGAATGGCTGTGATAGCAGTAGGGGGACCCGGGTTAATGACCAAGGCAGCCGACATTTTTGTGCTGCTAGCGGGGATCACTCCAGGAGGAGTGCCACACCTTTGAGCAAATCCAGAAAGTGATATGAAAGGCATTCTTGCAATGAATTCACTTGCAGAAAAATTCAGGCAGCATCCACAGGGAACAAGAGAGGGAGAAACATAATGACCATGCTCACAACAGGGCAGGATTTAATGATTTAACCCTTCCATCACGCAGCTGCTTTTTGAAGGAAATATGTCTCCTGAAACTTGTATTTGCAGTATTAGTATTATACTTACATGCCACCCTTTTGAAGTTGGAATGAAAGTTTGAATGAATTGTTAGCCTTTAAAAAAGAAATGGTATCAAATCATAAATGATCGACCCAGAGTGAAATTTTGTTGGTATACAAGTTAAATAATACTCAGAGATAAAAAGACAGAAAACATTAAAAGTGAGGAAGTTTGATCTTGATGTGAAGGTCCCTTTTTCCCTCTTGCAAGACATCCATGGTGACTTACACTGCCCTCTTCCTCCTCTCCATTCTATCCTCACAACAGCCCTGCGAGGTAGGCCAGGCTGAGTGTCAATGGCTGTCCCATAGTTACCAAGTGAGCTTCATGGCCAAGTGGGGATCAGAACCCGGACCTCCCGAGTCCACTCCAACACTTGATCCACTAGCACACTGGCTCCGACAGAGAAGGGTTTTTTCTCCCAACTACAGAAGGGGAAGGAAGGGTTACATTCCCCATCCGAGATCTCACTCATGGAAACACGCGGTACACAGAGCATGCACACACCTGCCCGCTGCCTTTATTTACACATTCACAACCTGCCATTCAGCGCAAAGGCACAGCTCCACCGCGGCCAGATCGGCCCTGCCAAGCTGGGCTCCCTTCCTTCCGTATGGCTTGTATCAAAAAGTCCCAAGTCTGGTCCTCAGCGCTGCCGCTAGTCCCAAATGAGCCCCCATCTGCATCCGACTGGACAACATTAGGCTTGAAGCCTTGCCCGACCTTCAGCTGGAAGGGGATAATGGGAGTGGTTGGCCAGTCCCCCTGGATATCACCTGGCTGGGGGAGGCTTATCTAAAGAGTAAGTGGCAGAGCAGGGGAACAAGCGGGTCAGCAGAGGCGCAGGGCAAGAGGGCACCCTGCTGCGTGCAGCCTGCTCTTCTCCATGCTGCAGCTGGTGAGGTTTATTTTAGGACTGCCGATGACACATTGCACAGGGGAGTTTATGCGCTGCAAGTGTGCCTTCGTGGAGAGAACCACCAATCTCCTCTTGGCTTTTCCAACAGTTCAGGACCAGCTTGGTGCAGAGTGAACAGATGGGGCAGATGGTAAGTGGAGAAGAGCATCCATCAATGTGTTACAAAGGCAGGGGAGGGCACTGACCCTTGGTGCGAGAAGTGGGGTGCAACAAGCACGTCCCCGTTATCCTATCCGCCTGGCCGCCTGCGGAAGCGGAATCTGCCCAGCCTCCAGCCCCATCCCTTTCAGCCTCTGTTGGAGCCATTGTACCAGTGCTTGGATGGATCGTTGTTGGATTCTTTCTCTGGTTGGCTTTGGCACAAATTGTGATGGGACAGCTTAATTTTAGTGCATTTTTCTTAAGATGAGATGTTTTATTGCTTCTATGTGTATGACTATAAAATGAGTTCTGACCTCTTGTTTTTCAGCAATGAGTTTGAAACCATTTTTTGACGTGTACATTTCCTGATGTTGCTGTGAGCTGTTTTTAGCATGATTTTGCCACGGAGAAGCTGCATACGCAGTAAATCAATGATAATGATATCATAATGATAGTCAATGATAATGCCATTTATAGCTATAGAGCACTGGTGGTAGCGAGAAACAAACATGAAGAAAGGAAAAACAGCAACATATAAGGAAAATTGTTTTCTCTCAACTTTTCCAAAGATCCTTGGAGGAGGGATGGAATGAAGCTGCCCCCCCCACACACACACCACTTTTTAATGTTGAATGTCCATCTTTTGGGGATTCTGTGAACCTGCAAGACCTGCATGAGGCAGGGGCTGGACTAGATGACCTCCAAGGAAACTCCCAGCTCAAATGCCATGATCCCCTATCTCTGGAGTGTCTGAGAAGTGCTCCCTTTCTTTTCTTAGTACATTGATGTGACAACATTCTGTGGGTTGCTTCCTCCTGGCATTTCCACAGTCCTGGATCATCCTGCCACTAGAGGGAGTTCTAACCTCCCCTTGGCTCAAGTCCATGCCCGCACAACAACTGTCTCCAGATGTGCCCAGTATTCCCACAGCGCTGCTACAGGGCAGGCCACCAGGCAAACAGGTGTTGCTCAGAGATTCCACCTCCCCTTGCCCTGCTACGGCTGCTGCAAATCTGTTAATTGTCTCTTCCTGGCCTCATGAAAGTGTGATCTCATCAGCTTAAACAGGCAGAAAACAACAAACAGATGGAGTTTCTGAAAGGTGCTGCTGTGCTTATCAGAGCACTCACTTTGCTCCAAATGTTAGAGTTGCGAGTTTTGGGATGGATAGCAAAAGCCACTCAGTTTGACTCCCCAGACCAAGGCAAAAGTTGACCTGGCCTCCCCAAAATGATTCTTTCTAATTTAGTTATGTAGGTGAAGAGCAGACAAGGATGCAACTAATACCTGCATGTTCCTGTATTTACACCCAGCATATATCCTGGATGGGAAACCTTAGGCCCAGAGGTCAAATCTGCCTTCAAGGGCCTTGATCCAGCCCTCTGGGCTTCACTAGCTGACCCAGGTCTTCCCCCTAGTCACGGATCCTTTAGATCCTCGCTAAAGTGCCATTCTTTCTCCTTTCTCAAAAGTAGCAAATTGTCATGCAAACCTTTGCTGGACTAAAACAGGTGGATATTTTTTCCTTTGCAATTTTGGCCCTGCCCTTTTAGTCTTGAGCTCCGCCTACCCCCAGAAGCTTGTGGCCAATGTGGTCTTCCCGTCCTGCTGCCCCCTCCCCATTCGAATATTTCTCCCTGATCTTTTCTTCTGAAATCAGATGCTCCCCTTTTCCCAATTCTGGCGCCCCTTTTTATGATTAGAGGTATCCTTAGCAGACAGGGCTCTCTACAGACTTGAGAATATACGTCTCTAAGCATATGCAATTTTGTTTTCATTTTTGTGTTGGTCCTCCTATGAGCCTGAGACCCTGATCTTTCAATACTTAGCCTGGCTCCCAGCATAGATGCTGAAACCTAGCAGCAAATGCAGTCTAGCCAGTCCACAGAACTCCTCTCATTGGGAAGCTGGTCTTCCCACTTTTCCTTCTTCACTCCCCAAAATAATCAACATTCCAGGGCTAATGGGAATGCTCCATTCTCACTGGGCCTCGTGGAGTTTGTTCTATGTGCTTATTTTGCATTTCTGCAAACACTGAGAGTTCTTTCAAGCCCGCAGATACCTCCTCACTGTGTGTGAATGGTGTTCTTCTAGCTATATAAGGAGGCGGACATTAATTTATTTGTTTTTTTAATTATTTAATTTCTGTGCTGCCCAACAGCCAAATCTCTCTGATGAATGAATTATAGAATGAATGGGGTATTCATGGAGAATTACTTAGTGTAAAGCAGGGGTGTAGAACCTCTTCCAGGCCAAGCACTGAATTCTATTTCAGAGAAGCTCTTGGGGGCACTTCCCACAGAGGTGGGTGGGTCTGATGGCAAAAGGGGTGGTGCCAAAATATACTGGCACATCTTAGCATAGAGCTCTGATTCTAAGCTTTATGAGAAGCATTCCTACCTTTTAAAGGGGCAGGGGGAACTGCACAAAAGCAGGATCACAACCAGACAATCAGGGGTCATGGAAAGGGTGTGTGCACCATCCTTTATAACCTTTAAAGGGTAACAAACTCCTGTAGTAAGTAAACCAGACTTACAGGGTAT